TTCTGATTTATGAACACATTGGTTTGTTCTGGTTTGTGTGGGGTTTTTGCGAAACGTTTTGGGCTTTTCCTTATGTTCCTCACATTTAAAAAAACCCCTCAGATTCTCAGAAAATCATAAAATCTAAGTCTATGTCAATAATACAAGACTGGTATCTTAGTAATATCTTAGTAACCTCTCAAAATCACAGAGGAATCAAAGTTTTACTGAAGTATATAAACCAATGTTTGTGATTCAGATGTCTCTGGCTAGACTACGTTGTGAGAGCTGGCACAGCACACTTTCAACTCCTATGTAAGGAATTACGTAAAAGAATCTCATTTGCTGCCTTTCTGTGATTCCTTTTATTCTTATTTGAATCAATGAGATTGCTAATTACACAATATGATGCCATTAAGGTACACGGTTAGAATACTGTCTGGTTGAGACTCTGAGCCCTAAACTCCTTGGCAATTTAACACCTATGCTGTTGCTGCCTCTCCTCCTGCTGTGAACTTTTGAGCCAGACCTGTCCCAGAAATGTCAACGGATATAAAGGAAGTGCATAAAACTCATGCTTTGCAAAGTTGAGCGTGACATTCTCACGTTAATCAGAAAGTGTTGAGAAAAGATACTGGTTTACAACAGGCAGAGTATTATAAACTGATCTGTCACGATAAATGTTAGTGCTGGTTCAACACATATCGCTTGGAGGTGTTGGAGTTACACACCGGGACATGTGCAGCGTAGGGCTCACTGGGTTAGACTGGACTAGGCTAAATGGAAAGCTGCCTTTTCCCAGTCTGTCGCCCAAGGATGCAAAGAGTGCAGAGGAGAGAGTTTTGAATTCATTTTGAAGCAAAGTCCTTCCACAGAGATGAAGCCTGATTCAAATCCATACAGTTCAAGGTTAAGGTACCTCACATGAGTGATTATTTTATGACCTATGATGCAAACACAGTAAAATATTATTTTGACTCAATTACTTTTTAAAAAAACATGAAATCAAGTCACTTAATCACACCAGGAACGCCTGACCATTCTGTTTCAGTTCCAGCATCGTCTGTGAAGCTGATATCTCATATTTCTGTGGTACCAAGCTGGGGTTTTGCAGTCCTCGTATGGCTTGCAATCCTATTTTCCCTTATTGCTGATCAATATTTTCATATCCTACTTGTACTACATACCTCGCTAGATGTGCAGGGCTTCTTCTCAGGGCACCAAGTGTCGTTCAGATGATAAACTCTAAAGACTGGGGTTTGTGCATTTCTGTTGACCACATCTTTTATGACCTGGAGTGCTACATTTTTGTGGGTTGTGCTAGAGACCCTGAATACATTGCATTATGTGTCTGTTAAAAATGTTGGTAACCCAGCACAGAATGGGTGAAGCAGGCATCAGAGATGAGAGTCGCCTCACCTCATTTAGATACATACAGTGCCAATTTCCCACCTTCTGAAGTGGGCTTCCTCTTTCTTTCCCTCTGCTTTTTATAGCGTGAATCTTGGGCATAACTTGGATATAAGCATGGAAGGGTGAAGTTCAGTGAAATGAATCCCATCCTAGTGGACTACGAAGAGTATAAGGGGTCCTACGTTGC